CAAAGAATATTTTAAAGAATATTATCTATTACAAGAAGATTTCTGTGTTTACAATCCTATTGTAGTATTACTAACCAGACGATCGACTTTTCGCTATCAATTTTGATATTACTGAGTGGCATATCAACTTTAAGACTCACTATTTTAGTAGATATAAGTGAACTATAAATTTATTTGTTCTTAAATAAAATCATCTAAAAAGTTAGGTTTATAGACTCTTAATACTAGTGTTACCAAGAAGGTAGACCAGTTCTGGGTCTTTAATACTAGTATAACTAAGTGGAAAATCTAATTTTTGGTTCGAAATGATTACTCACGGTATTTTTTGAAAGAACAATTTCGCCATTTTTAATATTCCTATCGTTTGAAATTCTTTAATATAAATAGTGCTGTGACAAAACAGTTAATAAAAAATTTATGTAAAAAATGGTTTTTCGATTTTCGATCGATTACGACCTCGTAAAATTATTTAGTTCTTTTTAGCAAAAAACACAACTATGATGCTGGGAATTTTTTTAGAAAATTACTTAGAAAATAAATTAATTAGAAATTTATTTAATTAAAAAATTAGTTTAGAAAATGCAAAACAATCATATTCAGAATACTAAAAGTTCAAATGATTAAATAACTGAGGCAGGGTTATGTTATTTGCTTTTTAATTATTGTTTATATTTGTTGCAGTGTATGTATTTATATATAAAGACGTGGAAAAAATAATAGAAACGAGAGGGTTTGTACTACTTCGAGGAATATATTTTATTTTTTTGAAAGATTATATGCATTTAACCCACTGAATATGTTATTTTGATAAAAGTACTTTAATTTACTTTCATTTTTATACTTATTTCGGCAAAAATATTAGTGATATGCACACTTTATATATACTTATGCACGTTTTTTTGTAGAAAAAGTGAATATCTAACAGTCATCGGATAGAAGTTCGTACTTCCAAATAAGTCGATTTTATGTCCATTAAACTCATTCTCTTGTCACTGTCAAATTACTATTGTTTCTCAATGGCTTCTGATTAATATTTTGTAAGTTTTAATTTCTAAATTTCCACAATTTAACGAAAATAAAAAAAAATATTTTCAACGCCCACGCTGAAGTGTAACAGAGCAGCACATACTGTTAATGTTGAACCTTCCGGAAATGACAGATAACGTTTCGGACGCTTTAGCAATCGTTGTGACTTATATGATGATGTTGCTGTTCCTGCAGTTGGCGATTGAGCCGATGAAATTGCTGTTGTTGGTACTGGCGTTGCTGCTGATGAATTTGACGACGATGATGATAATTCGGTTGCAGCATCTGTGATTTTTTGTTCCCCCACTAGGACTGATAATAAATCAATAGTTGAAGCATTTCGGTCATGCATATTTCTATGTGTGTTCTCGGTGGTTTGAGTTCCATTTGGAAAATGTGGAACATTCCTATATGTGTGAGCAGAATTTAAAGGCATTTGCGTACTTGAAATACTGCAACAATTGTCAACAACAATGTCAACATTATTGACTTTATCGCAATTGGGCATAAAAATGGCTGACGTTGACATTTGTTTGGATGTGAACGATTTTGACGATGTCAATGGTAATTTGTCTAAATTACTGCTGCTGCTAGCAGGAGCAGTGACAGGGGCGGTTACAGCAACAATTCTAACTGCAAATGCAACTTCGATGGTAAATAAAATTAAAATGTAAATTAAAATTGTCATTATGCATGCGAATTTTTAATTTCAAATGCGTTACGGCGTTACAGCGTTACAGCGTTGCGACTAAATTTGAATAATGCACAATAATTTGATTTTCATTATGCATTTTCATATGAAATTTTGCGCGGCAAAGCAATTTCAAAAATTAATTTTGTTTTATTTTGATTGCACAGAATTGCATATTTTATAAGTTTTGCATTATTTCTTTAATAAAAGTGAGGTACACAGTACACAGTACACAGTACACAGCACACAGCACACTTAACACATTTGCCGCACGTCCCGCTAATAAATAAAATACACAAAAACTACACGAGTTGCATGTTCAACTCAACGTGCTTAAGTTGTGGCGAAAATGATTTGCAAATTATTTATTTAAATGAAACGTGAGGAAGTTGAACAAACAATTGCATTCAATTGTTTTCAATTTCAATGCTTTCAATTCAACTCAATTCAATTTTATATGTGTTAGTGTACACATGCAAGTGTCCACAATAAGAAATTTGAAAATTACATGAAAACCATACAAAAACAAAAAATGTAAAATAAATAAGCACACCAAACACTCAAGGCAAGTGTACTGCTAACACACACGCACACACACACATACAAAAAGAACACAAGTTTTAAATGAAAAAAAAAAATTAAAATTTACCTTTAATTGTCTTCAATCAACGCAACTGCACATTGCTTGTGGGCTTTGGCTCAAATTTCCCTGCAATACCACTGTAAACTCAATACACAGCTATACACAGCTTACAGCATGTGGTAAGGAGGAGAAGTAAGTGCAACAATAGAAATTGGTAGCAACTTTGATGTTGCAGTCTTTCATGTTTCACATATTAGAAAACGAAAGAACGAACGAAAGAAAAAAACAAATAAAGAAAACGAAAACAAAAACGAAAACGAAAACGAAGAAATAGCAACAATAAGCGTACAACGCTGACGAGCGCTTTTGGAAAAGCATTCTGAGCTTAATGGGTGTTGAGTGCAATTGAGTTTAATTGCGTTGCCGCTTTGGTTGTGTGAGTGCTTATGTTAATCAAGGCAACAGTGGTGCATAAACTTGCTTTGACATATAAGCGCGATAGCTTGTACAGATTTCATGTTTATGCTTTGGAAATTAAATTATGCAGATTCGATATTATTGAATGGAAATTGAATTTTCTGGAATTAACAAATGAAAATGGATTACATGCAAGTTTGTATTGATTTTAGGAATTAATTTAAGTTCAAAAGGAGAATATTTAATAAAAATTAAAAACATTTTGAAGGTGATATATTACAGATGTTGAGATGAATATAGTGGAGAGATCGGGCAAAAAGGATCGTTCCTTTTAATTATTTTTCTCAATACAAATTCTGAGAGCACATTATATTTTATATTTTTTTTAATTGTGTCACTATTTCTAATAATTCTCATAGGTGTTTCTTTTGAAGTGAGGATCCGACCAGATGATATCATTGAACAGTGTCTTATACCAGGTGTACCGGTATGAAGTGAGCGTAAAGTGGGGTGCAGACTATCATACTGGTGTGTCATACGAGTTGCGCTCTCTCTTGCTCAAATTTCTTCTAG